TGCCAAGACCAAATACATTAACATTGTCATGTACATTACCATGCCAATCCCTCCGAGAGTTGTCATGACAGAACTCTGTTTAAGCAGTCCTGCATGTTAACTTGAGGCTCAACCAGTGACTAGTTTAAGGAAACTTGTTTGAAACCACACATCATTGCATTGCAGAAATGGCACAATGCAGCTCTGTCTTGGATCTTTAATTGAAATGAAGGAGAACACGAGACACTTGCGGGAAAATCAGCAGCATGTGTGTTTTGTGTGCAGCCATGTGTTTATGTGTGCGTGTTTGTAAAGCCAGACGACCGACTAACCTGTGATCTCTGGAGGGTGAGAGGAAGTCAGAAGGGGTGTCCGTTCTAAATGGAATTCTAGAACAGAAACGGCAAAAGAGCGGTTTGTGAATGAACTCAGCGTAAACAAGCTCCGAGCTAAAACACCAACACACACACACACACACACACAGAGTGAGTGTTTTTCCACATGTAGTCCTAACTATGCAAACACACTGACGTACACCATGAAAGGAAGCTTTCAAGCAGCAGAGGAGAGACATGTCTATGCGCACAGAAACACACACAGTGAAGCCACTTACAGCCAGGTGTAGCTGCTACACAGGAGGAAAGGAAGGGAACAGATTGAGGTGCAGAAGGACACGAGGAACAAAAAAGACAAGGAAGAGAGAGAAACGGGAGGATGTGGTTAGATCGCTGATCTTAAGGTGTGGAGTTAGTTAGACATGGAGCTGTAACACAAAACGGTTAGTGTTAGTGCTGGGCAGTATGACGGTTTCATGCAACGCTACAGATTTTGCTATGCCATGGTAGAGCCAAATGCATGAATATTAGTGACAATAAGTCAAGCTGAACTTGTTATTAAAGTTCAGTTGTTTACGGGTGCAAAGTCGCAGCTCATTCAATCACACCTTAGATTTTGTACCACAGGTTTTATAATATAAATTTGACTGTTTTGAGGCGTTTGTTTAACAATATGTTTTTATTTAGATAGGGTGACCATACGTGCCCTTTTTCCCGGACACATCCTGGCCAGGATTTCTATATTGCCTAAAATATCCATGTTATACGTTAAATAAAATTTTTAATTAGATAGATAGATAGATAGATAGATAGATAGATAGAATCAATTATGTTTATATATATATATATATAATAATGCATACTTTTGGACAATTCAGTAATTGAAATACTGTATATATTATGTATATATTATGGGTGTAACAGTACCTCGGTTTTGGGATCACAGTTTGATATGAGTTCGGTACAACAGGAAATTTATTTTTTCATTTATTTTGAACAGAGAGTAGTGCTACATACATGTAGCATTAGCAGTTGTTTTTTATTTGACTTAGACTGTATAATTCCAAGATTTAAAGCAAAAACAGAATGGTCTGATTTGTGAAATTGTTCTACATAAGACACCTGCACAAAACAAACACAGCAGATGGAAAGAATGAAAATGCAAATTCACTCTCTGACAGCAGGTGGCGCTTATGGAACAGCAGGATACAGCATTTCCTTGGTTACCGCTGTAAATAAACCAGCTGCTTATAACCACTACTTTAATATGCATTATATGGAGGTAAGAGGAAAAGAAAATGACTAGGGCTGTCGCGATTCGTCGATTCTATTCGATTTTTTAAAAATCCTCGACTTCATTTTGCCTGCATCGACTAACCAGCAAAATACCAGAAGTGGCGCATTTCACGGACGAGAATCCATAAAACACATTATTAGACTGTTTTCCAAGGCCTCATGATATATTAAACCCGTTTAAAAATCATAATTAAGCATAACTGTGAATTCACAAACGCTACGATTTAATTAAATAATTATATGTGATGCAGTTATAGACGTGTAGGTTACGTACGTGCGTCTCACAGCGGCTTCTTTCACAATAAATGCTGTTCCACAGGAACTGTTATCATTTACATGTGTGGAGCTTCTCAAACTCCATCTGTGCATGTTGTTGTGAGTTTGGGTTTATTATAACGTTCATCTGGGAACGCAACATACGCCATTTCATCAGATTTGTAAGGTAAATAATTTATAAATCCACGCAAACACAGAAGAATACATCATTATCTCGCAGTTTCAAAATAAAAGCCAGTACCTGGTACCTGGTACTTTTTTTAGTACCACCTCGGTTGGGGTTCCAAGTGAACCGTACCGTTACCAAAACATGACGTGTAAACTCTGCTGATCACGGATTGGCCGAAGCGAATCGTCACTACCTGCGTCACTGAACTTGTGACACAAACACAAAAGAACCACTAGATTTAAATCAGCACAGCCAGCGAAGGATCGAACGCAACTGTTTTGAACGAGCGCACAAAAAGTTTTGTTGTCTGTTGCGGAAGTACAGACGTTCCTGTCGTTGATAGCAGAGGAGCAGATCCAGCGAGAGCTTGATGGGGCGATGTGGAATGAAAAAGTTATTTTTAGGAGTCGTGGTAGTAGAGGCGGCGCAACTATAACGAC